ATTTTTTTTTATTTCCTCCTTGATTCCTTGGTTAACCCGTTCATTGTTTAGGAGCATGCTATTTAGCCTCCATGTATTGGTATTCTTTTTAGATTTTTTTCTTGTGATCAATTTTTAGTTTCATATCATTGTGGTTGGAAAAGATGCATGATATGATCTCAGTATTCTTAAATTTATTGAGATTGTTTGTGGCCTAACATGTTATCTATCCTGGGGACTGTTCAATGGGTACTTGAAAAGAATGTGTATTCAGTGGTTTTTTGGATGGGATGTTCAGTATATCTTTTTTAAGTCCATTTGGTCTAAGATGTTGTTCAAAGCCACTGTTTCCTTATTGATTTCTGTCTGGATAATCTACATTGATATAGGTGGAGTGTTAGTTGTCTGTTATTATTTATGTATTTAGGTACTCCTGTGTTGAGGGCATAGATATTTAGTTGTTATATACTCTTATTTGATTGACCCCTTTATGATTACGTAGTGGCCTTCTTTGTCTCTTGCTATAGTCTTTGTTTTAAAGTCTACTTTATCTAATGTAAGTATTGCTACTCTACCTTTTTTTTCTACCTTTTGCATGGTGCTTTTTTTCCAGCCCTTCATGTTCAGTCTGTATGTGTCTTTAGGTCTGAAGTGAGCCTTTTAAAGGAGCATATAGATGGGTCTTGTTTTTTTATCCATTCAGTCACCCTCTGTCTTTTGATTAGAGAATTTAGACCATTTACATTCAAAGTAATTATTGAGGGGTGCCTGAGTGGCTCAGTTGGTTGAATGTCAGACTCTTGATTTCAGCTCAGGTCATGATCCCAGGGTTATGGGATCAAGCCCATATCGGGCCCCACCCTGAGAATGGAGCCTGCTTAAGATTCTGTCTCTCTCTTCTTCTGCCCTTCTCCCCCGCTCATGTGCATGCTATGAGCATGCACTGTCTGTGTCTGTCTGTCTCTAAATAAATAAATATAGATAGATAGATAGATAGATAGATAGATACCTATGTACTTCTTGCCATTTTGTTCATTGTTTCTGGTTGTTTTTGTAGTACTCTGCTCCTTTCTTCTTCTGTTACTCTCTTCCCTTGTGTTTTGTTGGTTTTCTTTAGTGTTATGCTTGGATTCCTTTCTTTTTACTTTCTATGTATCTATTGTAGGATTTTGATTTGTGATTGGCATTAGGTTTATATATAACATCTTAGGTGTATAGCAGTCTGTAAAGTTGATCAAACTTAAGTTCGAGCTTAAGTTCACACACACTCTAAAAGTACATTTTTATTCCCTCTCCACATTTTATGTAGATGATGTCATATTTTACATCTCTTTATTTTGTGTATTCCTTGACTGGTTTTTGTAGACATAATTGATTTTATTACTTTTGCTCCATACTGGCTTTACAAGTGATTAATCTATTATGTGTAGAATTTTTTTAAGTTTATTTATTTATTTTGAGAGTGCACACAGGCAGGGGAGAAGCGGGAGGGGGGGGTGGCAATGGGGGGAGAGAGAATCCCAAGCAAGCTTTCATTGTCAGCTCAGAGCCCAGTGCAGGGGTCAGTCCCATGAACGTGAGATCATGGTGTGAGCTGAGATCAGGAGTTGGACACTCAACCAACTGAGCCACCCAGGTGCCCCTCTACTGTCTATTATATGTTTGCTTTTACCTGTGAAAGTTTTTCCTTTCATAATTTTCGCCTAATTATGGCCTTTTCTTTCCACTCAAAGAATTCCCTTTGACATTTCTTGTAAGGCTTATTTAGTGGTGATTTCATCCTTGAACTTTTGTCTGGGAGACTTTTTGTATCTTTTTTTATTCTGAATGATAATCTTGCTTGTAGAGTATTCTTGGTTCCAGGTCTTCCCTTCCAGTACTTTGAATGTATCATGCCACTGCTTTCTGGCCTACAAAGTTTCTGGTGAAAAATCAACTAATAGCTTTGTAGGGTTTCCCTTCTGTAGTAACTGGTTTTATTTTTCTCTTGCTGCTTTTTTTTAAATTTTTTTTTAATGTTTATCTATTTTTGAAGGAGAGAGAGACAGAGTGTGAGTGGGGGAGGGGCAGAGAGAGAGGGAGACACAGAATCGGAAGCAGGCTCTGGGCTCTGAACTGTCAGCACAGAGCCCAACACGGGGCTCAAACCCATGAACTGTGAGATCATGACCTGAGCCAAAGTCGGACGCTCAACCGACTGAGCCACCCAGGCACCCCTCTTGCTGCTTTTAAAATTCTCTCTTTATCATTACTTCCTGCTATTTTCATTATTACACATCTTGGTGTGGACCTCTTTGGGTTAATCTTGTTAGGGGCTCTCTGTGCTTTCTAGATTCGGATGTCTGTTTCCTTCCCCAGATTAGACAAGTTTTTAGCTGTTATTTCTTCAAAGACGTTTTCTGCCCCCTTCTCTCTCTCTCTTCTCCTTCTGGGATCCCTATAATACGAATGTTACTACACTTCATGGAGTTGCTGAGTTCCTTTAACCTTTTCTCATTTTTTATTCCTTTTTTTTCCTTTTTGCTGTTTAGCTTTGTTGCTTTCCATTACCCTGTCTTCCAGATTGCTGATCCATTCTGCATCCTCTAATCTGCCCTTCCCTCTAGTGTGCTTTTTTTAATTTTAGTTATTGCATTCTTCATCTCTAGTTCTTTTTTATGTTTTTGTTGAAGTTCTCCTTGAGTTCGTCCACTTTTTCTCAAGTCCAATGAGTATCTTTATGACCATTGCTTTGAGTTCTTTATCTAGGTATATTGCCTTTCTCAGTTTGATTAGCTCTTTTGCTATGATTTTGTCCTGTGCTTTCATTTGGGACATATTCCTCTGTCTCCTTGTTTTATCTAGCTCTCTGTTTGTTTCTGTGTATTGGGGGCCAGCTGTGACTCCTGGTCTTGATAGTAATGGCCTTGTGTAGAAGAGACCCGGTGGTGCCCTGTAGTGCAGTGTCCCTGGTCACCAAAACCAGGTGCTCCAAGGGTGTCTCCTCTGTGGGAAACATGCGCCCTACTGCTGTGGCTGAGTTGCATTTGCCTTCAGCCCAGATGGCTGCAGTGACCTGCTCTGCCTGCTCTGGGCACACTGGGCAGGGTTTGGTCCCTGCACAGCCAACTAAGAGGCTCAGCTGCTGGAACTATGGGCACACTGATGTGATCTCTCCCCTTCCCCAAGACAGCAGTCCCTCTGGAGTGGTGCTGGTCCCTGCTAAGGCTGCTTGTAGTAGGGCAGGAGCTGTGCTAGAGGGCCACCTGCCGAGGCAGGCAGGTCCCCAGGTGAACATGGGGCCAGGGCACTTGGTGCTAGCGAGATAGGTAGGGAGTATTAGCCCTGGTGCCCACAGGTGTCTGGCTATCTAGGCTGGGGGAGGAGAAGAGAAATGGTGCCCAGCAGTTTTGTTCTTGAAGTCTCCCTGCGCCTCCAGCACATACTGAGATTAATAAATGAATATTCTTCACATATACCCTGGGCACTTTTCAAACTGCTGCTTCTTTGCTGTCTCTCAGGCCAAGGTATTTATTCTAGCTCTTCAAGGGCAGGGACTTCGTTTCCTGTTGCCCTCTGGCTCTTCCAGAGTTAGGCCTTGCTAATTTTTAAAGTACTTGGAGTTTAGCCCTGCTGATTTTACAGGCTCCCCAAGTTAAGCCCCACTGGTTTTCAAAGCCACATGTTACTGGAATTCCTCATCCCACTGCCTCGGGTGCCTAGGGTGGGATCTGATCCTCTCCTCTGTGCTTGTGGTGTCCCTCCTGTTTGTGGTTAGTCTCACAGACGGGTGGGGGTTGGTTCCCAACCGTGTCTCAGCCCCTCCTACCCTTTTCAATGTGGCCTCCCAACACTTAACTGTGGATGGTCTGTTCTGCCAATCTTCCGGTGGTTTTCAGAGTAGAGTTAGTTGCACAGATATAGCTGTTATCTTGATGTGTTTGAGACACGGTGAGCTCAGTATCCTCCTACTCTACCATCTTCCTGACACCTCTGCTTCATGTATTTTAAAGCTCTGTTATTTGGTACATGCACCTTCTGGGTCATTTTGAACGCCTTATTGAAATGACCCTTTTAATCCCTGGCAGTATTTTCTGCTATGAAATCTACTTTGATATTAATACAGACTTCTCTTTCTCTTTATTAGTGTTAGTATATCTTCTTCCATTCTTTTACTTTTAACCTATTTGTATATTTATATTTAAAGTAGATTTTTATAAACAACGTACAATTGGGTCTTGCTTTTTTATCCAGTCTTACAGTCTCTGCCATTTAATTGGCATGTTTAGACCAAGAGTCAGCCATCTACAGCTCACAGATCAAATCCAACCACCACCTGCCTTTGTAAATAAAGTTTTACTGGAAAGACAGCCAAGGCCATTCATCTACGTATCATCTGTGGCTACTATCACTACAGTGTCAGAGTTTGCCAACCCTGGTTTAGGCCATTTACATTTAATGTGATTATTAATATGGTTGGGTTGAAAACAGCCATGTTGTTATTATGTTTTTTATTTGTCCCATCTGTTCTTTTTTCCATTTTTTCTTTGTTTCTGCCTTCTTTTGGATAAATTGGATATTTTTCATAATTCCATCTGATCTCTTATTGCCTTGTTAGCTGTAACTCTCTTTTCATTATTTTAGTGATTGCTCTTAGAGCATTCAGAAAATAACCAGAGGGAATGACCCTGGAATTCCTTGATTTCACTCTAACTGTATCACCAGAATGTTACCTTTCTGACTTCTGTTAACCGAAGGTATACATGCCTTATGCCATAGCCTTTTTTTCTCTTTATTTTTTACAGAAAAGGTAGGGTACATAAGGACTTTTGTTTGCCTATATGTGAATAACTATAATAGATGTTTTATATATGATTTAGATTGAGAATAGAATTGAATTTTTAAGAACATCTACCTATAGGATAGGTAGGATGGAACATCTACCTGTAGGATGTTATATTGATTAATTCATTATTTTGAGTCACTTTTTGAAATAGTGATTATTGAGATGCTCTAATATATAAAGGTCTGTGTCTTTACAGGCAACGATTAATATCGTTTTTGACCGGGTTGGGAAAACTGATCCTGTCACAAGAGGCATTGAGATCACTGTGAACTATCTGGGGATCCAATTTGATGTAAGAATTAAGTCTGTTTTTGTTCTTCCCATTCTCCATTGTTTTTTGACATATTCTTATAGCAAATTTGTAAAGGGCATAAAACCGTAAGTGATGGCTGGTACTTATTACTGACTTAGATGCCGATTATTTCTATAGTTCGTCTTCTGCTTTTCTGTAGCTGACTACTCCTCACCAGTTTCTCCCCACCAAATATTAGATACTTCTCTCTGTGATATATAATGAGATCTTCAAATCCAAAACTCACCTTTGATTCCTCTAGTAGAAAATTAACTACTAATTAGCGTTCCACGTTAGAAGTGAAATTATGTCTGCTGTAAAAAATTTATCTTTATCAATTAATTAATGTGGACTTTGAGCTAAAGATGGTAAGTGTAACCCGTGCAGTTTTAATTCTCTTTCTACCTGTTTTATGATACCACTATCATTAAACACTCTTGTCCCGATTTATGTTTTCTGTCTTTATTAATAGAAGAGTATATTTTAAAAAATATATATATATATATGTGTGTGTGTGTACATATATGTACACACACACACACACACACACACACACACATATATATATATAGCCAATGATTCTAGTTGATTAGCACTTTGATAGTAAGCCCAGAGTCATGCTCTTAGTCCCTGTGAGGACCATTTAGCTGGGCTAGGATCCTAGTGACAGACTGCATGCTACCCCCAGCCATCCGTCTCAACTGGACATGCTCCTGATAGCTAGATGCTGGATAAAATGAAAATGAACCAGAGCAAAATGAGCTCCAGTCCTTCAGAAACAATTCAAAACACATGTTTTTGTTTTTGTTTTTAATGTTTTTATTTATTTTTGAAGGAGAGAGAGAGAGACAAGAGCATGAGCAGGGGAGGAACAGAGAGAGAGGGAGACACAGAATCCAAAGCAGGCTCCAGGCTCTGAGCTGTCAGCACAGAGCCCGACGTGGGGCTTGAACCCACGAACTGTGAGATCATGATCTGAGCCGAAGTTGGACACTTAACTGAGCCACCCAGGCACCCCAAAGCACGTTTTTTGATGATAAACCGATGGTGTAAACTTTTTCACATGAAGGAACATGGTACCTTTCGTTCAAGTAGTTTATAAAATATCCCATAACCCATGCTTCACTGTTACATATGTGTTTTCTTCTCCTCTTTTCATTTTTTCCTGGGCTCAGTTATTAGAAGTGTTCTTCCTTATCAGTGCTTTGTGAGGCTACTTAGTTGCTGTGTGTGTATGTATATATTTAATCTACAATTCATCTGCATACTCCACGTTTCAGAATTCTGAGTAACACCTTTAGATGTTAGTAATAGCACTTCCCTGGCAGCTACTTTTCAGACCCGAATCAAGCACAGGGTTCCAAAGCTGCCTGCCACTATGAAGCAGTCCAAGAGGAGAAAAAGGTACCCTCGTGTAATTCAAGTGAAGGTCAATTATGTCCTAGACTGTAGCTGAGAATGTTGACATATTCTTTTATTATAAAATAATTTCTTAAAGTTATGGGCAATGAGGGGACTATCCTTCACAGATGTTAAAAGTAATTTAGCTGCTATTTAATTTCCTTTTAATCCGTGCTTTTCACGTAATACATTGAAGCTGCATCATTAGCTCCATCTCTGTTTCCTCAGACTGACTAGTGTTATTTTCATCACTCCACTGCACTTGCTTCCGTCCTGTCTTGATTAAGTCTCATTAAGATATCCACTGCAGGGATGCCTCTGTGACTCAGTTAAGTGTCTGACTCTTGATTTCAGCTCAGGTCATGATCTCATAGTTGGTGAGTTCAAGCCCCGTGTCGGGCCTGCTCTGCGCTAACAGTGCAGAGCCTGCTTGAAATTCTCTCCCTCTCTCTGCCCTCCCCCACTCATGCTCCTTTTCTCTCGCTCAAATAAATAAACATTAAAAAAAAAAAAAAAAGATTTGCACTGCCACCTTCCTAGGTGTTGTTAGTTGCACCTTACTTTTCTCCCTTCCTAAAAAAATTTTTTTTTAATCAGGCAGGGCCCAATGAAGTACCCTCTCACAGTCACATAAGCAATCAGAATGTATCAGGAGAATAGCCTTCACGTGTCTCTCAACAGAGATTTCACAGATACTTTTCCTTCTTTCTATGGTGGCAGGTGAAGTTCTGGTCTCAACACATTTCCTTCATTCTGGTTGGAATCATCATCGTTACATCTATCCGAGGACTGCTGATCACTCTTACCAAGGTAGGTTGTATCATTGAGTTTAAATTTCTTATTTGCTTAATTACACGTGGCACCACAAGATAATTTTACCTAATTAAGATTTCTGCCTTCTGAGATCTTAAACAACAGTCACAAATAGTTGGATTTACATCCCACGCCCATCAGATGCGTACTTTTACCAAAGGTCATAGAACAAGATCATGGTCCGTTGCGTTCACTGATACGGCACCAGCATCTGGGAACAGAAGCTGGCATGCAGTAGGTGTTCCAGGGATACTTGGAATGGATGAAGAAGATTGGAGGTATTTGGGTTAGAATTTGAGTATTTGAGGTGTTTGAGGTTAGAATAACTGTGAGGGTCCCTTATAAGGAGGACATGGGAGTAGGAGAAGCAGAATGTTTGGCTATTTTCTGATCAACACAGGAAGGCTTCATGGAGGCAGAAGGTAAATTTTCTCTTGGAGACGAGGCGGGGAATCTCGAAATCCAAGAAGGGCTTGAATGAAACGAGTGAAGAGGTTGGGAGGGGAAGAGGAAGGATGGATCTACAGGCATCTCACACAATTTTGGAAAGAGCTCAGGAGCCTAGTAATAATTATAAGAGCTTGGAGTGGCCTGAGGTAATCTGCTCTAATATTTCATAATGATATGAAAGTCATATGTGTCACATAGTTTCTGACAAACTTGATACAGCTTGGAATCCCTTCATGTCATAACGTAATTCTTAAAACCCCCAAATATCCCTCTGAGCGCAACATAGCAAGCAGTCTGTTTCTCTTCATGGCGTTAACTGTACCAGTCGTTCCCTATGGGATTGCTGCATGGAAGAGACTTTATTTTTTAACGTTTATTCATTTTCGAGAGACAGAGCATGAGCATGAGCAGGGGAGGGGCAGAGAGAGAGGGAGACACAGAATCCGAAGCAGGCTCCAGGCTTCGAGCTGTCAGCACAGAGCCCGGCGCGGGGCTCAGACCCATGAACTATGAGATCAAGACCTGAGCTAAAGTCGGACACTTAACCGACTGAGTCACCCAGGCGCCCTGGAAGAGACATTTTTAATTATGCTACTTAATGCTCTTGACACAAGTGTCTAGCAGTACCGCATAAATTCTCCTCCCTTTCTTGACAGTTCTTTTATGCCATCTCTAGCAGTAAGTCCTCCAACGTCATTGTCCTGCTGTTAGCACAGATAATGGTAAGTTTCACGAACTAGCTTTATGATTACAACTGTAAAATACCAGAAGTGTTTTGTACTTCTGAATATTTTAACAATTCCCTTTGATCCCTGACCACAAAGTGACCTCCGGGTTAATTTGTTTAACTTCTAGGGCATGTACTTTGTCTCCTCTGTGCTGCTGATTCGAATGAGCATGCCTCTAGAATATCGTACCATAATCACCGAAGTCCTGGGGGAGCTACAGTTCAACTTCTATCACCGTTGGTTTGATGTGATCTTCCTGGTCAGTGCTCTCTCCAGCATACTGTTCCTCTATTTGGCTCACAAACAGGCACCAGAGAAGCATATGGCACCTTGAACTCATGCCTGTTACAGACTGCTACGGGCCAGTAGCGTCAGAATTTGGATTTAAGAGAAAACAATGGAGGGGACCAGGGCCTAATATTTTTTAAACAATCAAAACACTGAGGTAGCAGATTCTACCTCCAGCTTATGCCTTCCTCCTCAGCTGATACTGTGATCATGTAGCATTAGCTAGAACATGAGCGTGAAGTAAACTCAAGCTAGCCCTCAGCGGAGCGCATCCCACGTGGGTTTGAGGCTGATGCAGCATGGCGGAAGAGGGGTGGAAAAGAGCCAAGAAACTAGTCTGGGAGAATACACTGGAGCCCTAGGGTAAGGGGAAGTCTGAGGTAGCTGGGCCAAACACACAGGATCTCTGTCAAGGCTCACACGGAGGAGGTTCTGGCTTTCCCTTAAGATTGACAATCATTAAAATCAGATTGGAACCCTTTGGCCTTAGCTTCATTTTATCAAGGATAGCTTGGTAGTGTGCTTGTGTGATCTAACGTGAGTTGGCATCCCCCAGCCAACCCCCGCCCCATAAAAATTACCAACAGGTTATCTGTTCTTGTCCGGGGATGGAATGGTGTGCTACTGAAATAGATTCTACCGAGAGAGGTCAGGTATATCATCTTTATTGATTTCCTTTTAAGTCCGTATTTGAGAGTGAATTACTGTGCATTCAAGTTGGTGATGATGTCTCAGTTTTTTTTTTCTTTCCATCTGCCCCCTCATGCTGTGGGGTAAAACAATGAATAACTCAACTGGAATAAGTTTTCCTATTGTAGACCCTACTTTTCTCCATCTGTGAAAGGAAAATGTTGGGAAGTTTATAGAATATTCAGAAATGCAATTTAAGGAAATCCTGAATTTTATTGTGCTGGGACTTCCAGAGGCAAAATGAAAGTTAAAGCATAAAAGCAAGTTTACCAAAAACAAAAGCACTATTAAGGTTTGATCAGCTAACAAGGAAGACTCTAAAGGCATTCTTAATGGCATCTGTTTTAGCAACCACAACATTCTTACAAAACCATAATTTTAATAGGCTTATCTGCTCAGATACTATAATGAGCTTTCACGTGTACAGATTTGTGAATCATCTTTGGTGCTCAAGGAGCCTATAGAATTAAGAGATAGCATCATACAAAGAAATGTAGTTAAGTTGAAGCTTGAAAGAGATCACTTGAAAAGAATCTGGTTCCTGCCTTAAGTTGACCATAAATAAGCCATCTATTGCGGTATCTGCCCCCAAGGCAAATGACTACAGAAGAGAGTCACACGTGATGAACTGGTTCCCAGAGGAGCTCTTCTCTAACAGAGACAGTAAATGGGTGGCAGCTCATTCCTTGGGAAAGGATTCTTACTGAACGCCCAGAAACAGCTGTCAGCCAAAGCCATTATTTGCTCTCATCACATCTCTGTGTCTTCAGAATTGGAAGAAGAATGTGAGGCTGTACTGTGCGCCTGTGCAAAAGAGAACAAAAGATCTGTAAGTGCGAGTATGAATGTCAGCAGTTGCATGACTTGAGGCAGGGAGTAGAGTCCCTCACTAGAAGCCAGGTAATCTGGATTTTACATTTGGCTTTGTTTCCAGCTTGCTGTTTGACACTAACAAATTTCTTAATGTCTATATATCTTTTCTATAAAGCTAGCACAGTCCTATAATTGACTTGCTACAGAGCTATCACTGAATTTTTTAAAGACAACTAGAATGCTTTCTTCGTGAAGCAGTCACGAATGCAAGGTCAGTGGCTATTATGTGTGCTGTGGTCTGACTGTATGTCTCCAAAATTCGCCTATTGAAATACTAATCCTGAGGTCAGGTGATGATATTAGGAGGTAGGACCTTTGGGCGGTGATTAAGTCATGAGGGCAGAGCCCTTGTGGTTGGGTTTAATGTCTTATAAGAGAGCCCCCACCCCCCACCCCCAGAGCTCCCTATCCCCTTCTACCATGTGAGGACATAGCAAGAAGTTGGCAGTTTGCAGCCTGGAAGAGGGCCTTCTCCGGACCCGAAAGCTGTCAGTGCCCTGATCTTGGATTTGCCAGCCTTCAGAACTGTAAGAAATAAATCTGTGTTGTTTATAAGCCATCCAGTGTATGGTCTTTTATTATAGCCCTCCAGACTAAGTGGGTATTCATTAACAAATAGTATTTAATTTATATTACCAGTAATTAATTGTAAATAGAGTAGAATTAAAGGTAATAGAAAGAAGAATGATGCAAAAGACTTATCAAGGAATTTAATCCAAATACAGAGTAATGCTTATTCCTCCCTAGCAATAATACACCGCCAATGATCTTAAAAACAATATGTCCCTAAACACCACAGTTCATTTTCATGCTTACCATTAACCAGGCCCTGTTTGAAGTGCTTTAGTCTTCGATAATATAATCCTAATAACAGTCCTACAAATCCTCCTTGTTTTACAGGTGGGGATAATGAGGCAAAGAGAAAATAAATCCATTTGCCCAAGGACATTAAGTGACAGAACCAGAATTTGTACATAGCTAGTCTGATTCAGGTTCTTCTGGTGGTTCCATTATAATTTTGATAAACTTACCTTCTCTGGACAGTTACTGTCAACTCCATGCTATGAAAAAGAAACTTGTCCTCATACCACTTCCTCTCCACCAAAATGACTTATCTTTACATTGTAATTTTCTAGTATTCTAGGAAATCTGTGGCAAACATAGACCTAAGGTGTACTTATGAAAGACTTTATCATACGCTGATAGGTTAGATCACTGAGAGAAACCTATCACCACTCACTCGTTCTTTTGCCACGTGTGAGTCGTGCTCTGGTTCTGCCAATGTTCCTTCTTTGGAATCAGGGGGGGCATCCAGTGGATCAGCCATAGAGGAAACGATAGGGATTTTCTTAGCCTGGAAATAATCATAGGCCTTCTTTCCACAGACTAAGAGTGTGACATTCTTCCCACTATTCTGGATTCTGTCCACCACTTTCTCATAGGGTTCTTCCAGCACCTTCCCTCCATTCACTTCGATGATGATATCCTCATCCTCCAGCCCTGCCAGTTCGGCAGGGCTGCCCTTCTGTACCTGTGAAAAAGAGGTTCTGAATTATCACTTCCAGGCACAGATAAGGGAATGTTAGATTGGCTTCCCTTCAGAGGAGAGAGGGCTTTGAGAATTTCTTCTTAACCGTGTTATTTCTCCTTGAGGTACAGAAGAAAGGCGCTCTAATGCTTTTCTGCTTCTCAAAGCTTCAACTTCCATACTCCAATGAATACCATTGGAGGGGTCCAAGATGATAGCACAAGACTCTGAACTCACCCCACCTCACGGACACCAAATCTATACCTACATACAGAGCAATTCTTCCTAAAGAACTGAGGGCTGATTGAACAGTATCTGCACAATAAAGGACAGAGAGACCACATAAGGAACGGCAGGAGACATGGAGACACGGTCATGCTGAAAACCGCGCTGCACGAGCGACAGAGCACGGAGGGGTCTGCACACAGACTGGGGTGCAGCAAAAAAGCAGTTTAAAGAGCAGCTAGACTAACTAAAGGGAACCAACTCACTAACCCTAGAGCATCCACCAAATGGGCGGGAAAGTGCTGAACTTCTCCAGCGTCACAGCTACTGGCAGGTACCACTGTTTACATTCCGTCTCCACCTTGCTAGTGCAGACGGGCCCAGGGCCAGGCACCCTAGCCATCCTGCCACCTCGGCAAGCCCTTGGACCTTAGCCCACACCAGCGCAAGGCAGCCCCAGGATGGCACCCACCAGGACACCCTCAGCCTTTGCCTGCTACAGCTCCAGCTGTGCTGCCAGGGCACAAAGCACCCCAAAATACCATCCCCCGCCCCCAGCCCAGGCCTGCTTCAGCCATGCCACCGACGCTGGCTCCAACCAAAGCCACCAGGCACACACAGTCTGCACTGGGGACATTTCTACACAAGGCCACTCCTTTAAGACAGAGAGAGGTGGCTGTTTTGCCTAATTCATAGAAATAAACACCAAAAGTCAAACAAAATGAGGAGAACAAAAAAAATGCTCCAAATGGAAAGAAGACAAAACTGAACAAAATGGAGATGAGCAATCAACCTGCTGAGTGGATGAACTCAGAACTTACAGAATATATTTTCTATCTCTTTAACTCTGATTGGTTTTTTCTTAAAATAACTGGAAAAAATACACCAGAGGGAATCAACAGATGACACAGAAGAATCAGGTAAGTGATCTGCAAAGACAGGTAATGTGGAAAGCACCCAAACTGAGCAACAAAAAGAAAAAATTGTAATTGAGTTTAGGTTAAGGAATCTCTGGGAAAATCTCAAGCATAGTAACACTCATGTCATTCCTGTCAGAAAGGGACAGAGAGCCTATTTGAAGAAATAATCGCTGAAAACCTCCCTAAAACCTGGGGAGACACTCAGGTCCAGGAGAGCCCCAAACAAGATGAACCCAAGGAGGAACACCAAGACCCATGATAATTTAAATCTCAAAGATTAAAGATAGAGAATCTTAAAGGCAGCTAGCTACATACAAGGGAAATGCCGTGAGGCTCTCAACTGATTTTTCAGTAGAAACTTGGAGCTAGATGCCACTCTCCCTCGGGCCTGTAAAGGGCTCAAAGGAAAAAACCTACATGCAAGAATGTTCTACCAACCAAGATTATTTTCAGAATTGAAGGGGAAAGAGTTTCCCATACAAAAGTTAAGGAAATCACAACCCTTAAATTAGCCTTGTAAGAAATGTTGAAGGACCTTCTCTAAGCAGAAAAGGCCATAACTAGAAGAAAATTAGGAAAGGAAAAAATTTCACCAATAAAAGCAAACCTATAGTAAAGGTGGTAATCAGTCACTTTTAAACCTAATATGAAAGTTAAAACACAAAAGTAGTAAAATCAATCATATCTTTAAAAAAAAATAAGGAATTTACAAAACAAAAAGATGTGTAAAATAAGACATGCGTTAAATGTGGAGAGGAGGGAATAAACGTGCTTTTAGAATATACTTGAATTTAAGTGACCATCAACTTAATATACACTGCTATATATTTAGGATGTTATGTAGGGACTTCATGGTAACCATAAACCAAAAACTATAATTGATACACAAAAAATTAGAAAGGTATCCAAGCATAACACAAAAGTCATCAATCACAAGGGAAGAGAACAAAAGAAAGAAACAGAAGAACTACAAAAATAGCCAGAAGACAAGTAACAAAATGTCAGTAGTTATATGCCTATCAATAATTACTTTAAATGTAAATGGTCTAAATGCTCCAATCGAAAGAGGGTAACTGAAGGGATATAAAAACAAGACCCATCTATATGCTGCCTCTAGGAGACTCACTTCAGGCCTAAAGACACAGGCTGAAAGTGAAGGGCTAGAAAACATATACCATGCAAATGAAGCAGGGGGTTGGGGGAGAAGCCAGGGTAGCAATACTTACATTAGATAAAATAGACTTT